TTTTAGTTAACTCTGAAATCAGTTATTTCATTTGTTTTTAACCTCACTCTACTATTACTATTTTTTAAATGTTCTATACAAATTTGCACCACTTTTTCTTGTAGCTTTTTCAGTTCATATAACCTGAGTCAGAAATGTGTTATCAATCATAATAGAAATGTCACTGGAGGATTTAATTTTGTACTGAAGTTTAGTCCTAGCTACTAAAGTGTGTAAGCATTAAGAGTTTTTCTTAAATTGGCTCTACACAGAAATGTTTTCCTTTTCACTAAATGATCATTGTGTTTGCATTTTTTAAAATTTTCATTTTCTAAAGTGGTGCAGATTTAGGGTATGTTAATCAGATGAGCAAGGTGAGATATACATTATAAGGAGAAGCCGTATAAATCACAATATAAAATTATGGAGTGTACTGTATATCTAATTCTCATTCTAAAAGCAGCCATAAAGGCTGAATTGGAAGCTTCATGTCTGCATGAAATTTCCTATGTTTTTAATGTGTATGATGGACTTAATTTTTCTTGGATATTAAAGTCTGCCAATTGCTATGAAATAAATCTGCCGGTTGTTTGGTTGTTTCTGTTAGTGATAGCCACAGACATGAGAACTTGAATTTATTGAGCACATATACCTGTGAATCCCTGGATTAGCCTATTTTTGTGTTATACAAGGTCAGTAATGAGTATCTGACCTTCCAGCATGCCAGGCTTTTTTCTAATTATGTTCACTTTGTTTCATTCAAGTTCAGTGTGATGAAGTTGGAATCCACCAAAGAAAAAGATTAATCTTGATCTTTAATTTTGTTAAATAATAGAACTATAGAGGCAGACAGTAGAGAAGGTTCCAGAACCAGGTACTTGGACCTGGGTTGTGTTCCTGAACTGTTTGCAGCCAGAGGGCTGTGAGCAAGGGACCTGGACAGAGGCCTTGCTTGGCTGCCTCTGCTGAGACCTGCTGGGTGTGGGTAAAGACACTTCCCCCTCCTGTTTGGTACTCTGCTGCCCATCCCTAACCCTGCAAGGGCTTTTGCAGAGCTCCCAGAGCACAGAGAAGATGGCCTGTCTGTGGTGATCTCTGGACCACGTGTACCCTTCCTGAGGGGAAAACAGAAGAGGGAGTTGGTGCTTTCTCTGGTTTAGCCTCTTGTCTGCCCTATTTCATTCAGAAAGTGCCTTGACTTTTATTTTGACTGTTTTAATCTGCCATTCTAATACCTGCCAGCTGAGCTCTGTAGCCCCAAGGGGCCCACTAATTTCTGTTTCCTTTACAAGCAAGCCCTGTCTAACCCTGATCAGTTGAATTAAGGTGCCTTCTTTTATACAGAAAGGGGTGGAGTACTTTAACGTGTTCTTGAGGTCTCATGCACAGCACAGCTGCCAAGAGACCCAGTTTTCCTTGAGCAGGGCATGTCAGGAGGCATGGGAGGCAAGTCCACAGGGACAGTGAGCAGCGGTGGGTGGGGAGGAAATGGGGCTGTCAGGTTCTGTCCACTGACCGACCTCTCAAGGTTCAGTGCCAGAGCACTGCTGCCCTGCCTCCCATTTCCCTAGCACGTCAGGTGAGTCCAGCCTCTTGTTCATGTGTCAGACGCTGGGTTCTGCCCTGTGGTTTTCCAGCTTTGGCCCCCCTGGCCCCCAAAGCCTCATCCCCATTACCAGCCAAGTTAGGCCATGGCAGGAACCAGGTTTGGACTTTGTATTGTTAGGTAAGGCTTTTTCTTTACTCATTTGTGAGTGGTTACACAGCCTCAGTTAAACCAAATAAATTGGATGTCAAATGGCGGAGTCCTCGTCGCTGAGAACGTTGAACTTCACTTTGAAGAATCCCTTCCTCAGCAGCTTCAGCCACACTGCCATTCACCTAGGGCTGCAGGGGTTGCCGTTCTATTTCCATAACTCCATCCTCTTCCTACCTGGAAAAGGATAACAAGATTTAGTACTGCACTGAATAACAGTGTTTCATTCAACAGATGCCACAGATACATGTAAATGGTGGTCCATAACTTTATATTACCCAGTAAGATTGTGGCCATCCTAGGGTTTTTTTGTGTGTGTGCTTTTGAGACAGGGTTTCACTATACAGTTCAGACTGGCCTTGAACTCACTTTGTAGCCCAAACTGGCCTTGAATTTACAGCAATCCTTCTGCCTCAGCCTCCCAAGTGCTGGGCTTACAGGCCCCACCACCCGGAATCTTAGTTTTTCTAAGTGCATTCTGTGTTAGCCTTAAGGCATTGTGGAATGATACATTTCTCAGAACTGTCTCCATAGTTAAGTGATGGATTTTAATCCTACTTCAGCCTGCCTAGCATCATTAATAGGAAGTTAATAGGAAGGAAGCAGGGACTCAATTCTCTTACCTCGTGTATCAATCAAGACTATGCATGACTAGATCTTAGGCAGTCATACAATTCTGGTTTGGTTTGTTTTGTTTTTGGAGACAGGGTCTCAGGATGTAGTCCAGGCTCGCCTTGAACTCACTATGTAGCCTAAACTGGCCTCAAACTCATAGCAATCCTCCTGCCTCAGCCTTCCAAGTGCTGGGATTATAAGCATGCACTACCACACTGGTTTAAGTATTTAAGTATCTCTTATTTTAAATACCTAAGCTTGAATATTAAAATATCTCTCTAAATATAGCTTAAATATTTGAAAACTATATAGTTTTTGTTTTGTTTTTTTGAGAAAGGTTCTCACTGAATTGCCTAGGCTGGCCTTGAACTTGTGATCCTCCTACTTCAGATTCTTGAGGAGCTGGAGTTATAAGGCATCTGTCACATTTTAAATAACTAATACAATTACTGAACTCATGAAGTTAACAATAGTGTAATATTAGAGACAGCCCTTATTTGGAGTTTACCAGCATTTGCATGCACTGTTACATCCCATGCCACTAACCTATCTTTTCTCTAAATTGCAGATTATTGGGGTTTTGTTTTATTTTGGATCAATACATTTTTACTTGCACATTTTTCATTTTCTATTCTCCTGTAAAGGCAGTGTTAACTTTCTGCAATAATGTAACTTTATCCAGAAAACTAAAATGAAGTACAACTTTTATATAATTTGAAAAGTGATAAAATATCCACAAGAGAAAGTAATCCTGCAGGTCCTGGTGTTGTTTCCCAGAGTAAACAGGAATGCAACAGCATTAAAAGGCAGTTTTCAAATATTTATGCTACACGAAGATTCCATGCAAATACCTGCCTTTGTTCGAGTAATGCAACCAATTCAATGGTAATGAAGCAGTGCAACCAATTTCCGGTCATTCTTTACAGTTTTACATTGTTAAAGTGCTACTAAGCAATAAAGTCACATCAGTTCCTGCGCATGGTAGAGGTGGCATTGTGAAATCACAAAAGGTGCAGTTTTGAATGCATGTGGAAACAGTAACAAGTAGCCTAAGTACAGATGGAGAGAAGCCAGTGTAGTCTGTAATTAACTGGAAGTAATAAAATTGGTATTTAGACTCAAAGTTGAGTACTGTACTGGTGAAACACACATTTCTGAGGCCAGGGATATAGCTCAGTGGCACAGCACTTGCCTCACAAGCATGAGGTCCTGAGTTCAATTTTGAGTACAAAAAAAAAATACAAATTTTCTCTTTTAAAATTGAAAATGAAACCAGCAGTTGATGAAACCAAGATAAAAGGAGATATGACAATCTCTTACACAAAATTATGTATTTTAACAGCTTTATGTCATAGGTATATAATTTTAAGTACTTTTCTACAATTTTAAGACCTAAAGAATTGAGTGAAAAGGCATACAATATTTGAAAATATGTGTGTGTATGCAGTCTGCCCAAAAATTTATACATCAGGATAAGAAAAATGTGTAAATACTTTAATACTAAATTTATTGGGACATCATGAGGTGAATACAAATTACCTTTGGCCTCTATAGTTACAAGAGGTACTCACGTGGTGGCCATGAGCTCGCAGACATTTACTGTATGGCAAACTGCTCACGTGTGTATACATTTTTTTGGTAGATTTTCTATATATTATGAGAACACACCAACACTATACACTGGGGAAAATACAAACAAGATATATTACAGATTTATCCAGTGGTAATTCAGCTTACACTATGCAATAAAACTAAAAAGAATTTTTTTCTGCAGAATACTTAAATCTTGTGGCACTTAAAATTTGTTAGCCTTTCTACTAAGGCAAATTTTACACAATGAAAAAGATTAACAGAACATTTGTCTATTATGATTCATTCCAGCTTACCAATGGCCTACTCCATGCATGTACTAATGAAAAACTTTTTTTAAAATGGCCCAAATTTCTCTAACTCTTGTTTTCCTGATAAGCTTCCTGGCTGATGACAGGGCCATTGGGATTCAGTATTATCCAAAAGAAGCTAAATTGATGTTAAGACTGGAGATATGTCAAAGTTTGGACCCCCATCAATTCTGAAAAATACCTAAATATGTGCTATCATCAGCATATACACTTAAATGAATTTTGGATTAAACTAGCCATTGGTGGTGTATTTGGATATTCTTAAGAAAAACTTGCTAAAACTAACAGGTGCAGTAGTTGGCCGTTCTGGTCCACACACAGCTACATTATACGCATGAATGTTTCGGTTGGGGTCCCCCCGTGATGTCTCCAGAAAGAAATGCAAGCATGAGGGCGGGGGCCCAGGCTAGGACTGGGCTGCTGTTGGGTCCGGCAGGGCCCACAGCCAGACCCTTGGGTTCATTCGTGGCAGCTTTGGGGAGGAGCTGTCATTGTAGTGCAGGGAAAGGTCTCATTACCTTTGCAGTTCTGTATGGCCTACTTCAAGCTGGGACTGAGGTACTACCCACCTGCCCCATGGCCATAAAATGAGTATACTGGTATATGCCTGGGCCTTGCTTTTTTTAGTCAACTTTGATATCAACTGAATATTTAAACTGTCTACATGTCCACATAAATACATGATTGAATTTAAACACCACTGTTTTCTACATCTCATTTTTTTTTTTTTTCCTCTTCTCACCTTTGGATTCAGTATGTTCTTGATTTCTTCCACACTGCTGACTTTATTAAACTTCTACATAGTGTTTTCTCTAGAGTTTACACATGATCAACTTACTGTTCTACCTTCAAATAGTACAGCACTTCATTATAATTCCTCTTGCATCATGCTGTTGTCATCATTTTACTCTTATGTATAAACCCCATAATACATTCGCATTTATGCTTTAGGTTGAGTTCCTTTAAAGCTATAAAGAATTTTAAAATGTCTTTTATCATTTTGTAGTTGCTGGCATATAAATACTGTCTGAAACTTCTTCAGTAGCCCTGCCTTTGGAACAGCCCGCCTCCCCTTCCCTTGAGCATGGGCGGTAGCAGTTCACTTCTAATGAAAACAGTGTGGCAGAAATGTTGGACTTTACGGCTTCTGCATAAAAGCCATTGCAGCTTCTGTTTTCTCTGAGCTCACTAGCGCTGGGGGAAGTCAGATGACACTGAGAGGATAGGACAGCCTGACACTCTCCAAAGAGAACCTTTTTGTTTTGTTTTTTTCCGGTACCTGGAATTGAACTCACGACCTTCCGCTTGCCAGACAGGTGCTGTGCCGCTGAGCTAAATCCCCAGCCCCTAGAACCTCCTTTCTTGCTTTTCCTATTCCTTTCTATGGGCAAAGCTACTAGGACAAGGAGCAAGTGTTGCATGGCCCTGCAGTAGTTCCCATTGCCACCAACCTGAAGGGCAGCCATATGGCTGCAGACCTAGGCAAAAACGGGTCAGGTCAGGGACTGCCGCTGCCATCCCGCTGGCCCCAGTGTGGCTGAGAGGTGACTGTGCGCCTATGGTCCCGTTGGGTGCCCCCCGCCACTGCTGTAGAATCTGATTCCACTGCTGCAGCTGTCAAGGCTGCAAGAAGGCTTCAGTCCACCACCGCGTAGGACCGCCGTCCCAGATCCCCAGGTGTCCCCTCTGGTCTGCGAGGACCACATCCCCACCCTTGGAAGCTGAAACAGTCAAGCCCATCACTCCGAGCACAGACTGGCCAGGCAGGCCTGTCTGGTCAGCAGGTGAGAGGTCGCACCCAGGGCCTGCCCTTCTGTGTGCAAGCAGTGCTTCTTCCACCCTCAGTGGCCAGCCTGACACTTCTCCCAGCGCTGTCCCCAGGTGGCCTCATTTCCCCATCAGAGTGGAATGACCCCTTCAGTACTAGCAGCCAGAGAACTGCAGAGAGGTGCGAAGATGAGAACTGTGCTGAGGAGCTGGCCAAAGGGGTGGGGAGAACCATGAACACCAGCTCCCCGGAGCGGCTGGCTCTGAGCATGCTCATGACCCGATCATCATTCAGCAGAATCACCCTCAGCCAGTGGTAACGACAAGGCATCAGGACAGCCCTGTGGAGCGCGGGCCTCCTCCAGTCACCTGCACTGAATGCCCCTGCCAGGGGCTCCTCCACCCTGCAGGAGCTTTCATGACTGTAGTGACAACCAACATCTTGACTGCAACCCTGTGAGCAGCCCTGAACCACTCAGCTAAACTGACTTTTTTTTTCTTTTTCTTTTTGAGACAGGGTCTCACTATGTAGTTCAGGCTGGCCTTGAGCTCACTTTGTAGCCCAGGTTGGCCTTGAACTTGCAACCATCTTCTTGCCTCAGCTTCCCAAGTGCTGGGATTACAGGCGTGCGCCTCCACACCCCCCTCTGACTGAATTCTTAAGCCCCAGACTCTGAGAAAATATTTCCAGTCACTCAAGTTTTAGAATAGTTTATTACAGAGCACTCACTTTCTTGTGTACACCCAAGTTTCTATGTGGTACAATACTTCTATGCGGTACAATCCTATGAACACCTGATGCAGTCATAAAAAAATGTTTATTAGCCTGAAGAATATCGGGGTTTTGTAAGTTTCCTGGCAGAAGTATTCTCTCAACTTTTGTTTGACTGAAAAGGTCCAGGCTTTTTTGTTTTTGTGCTATCGGGGATCAAACCCAGGCCTTGCACATCCTAGGCAAACACTGTACCACTGAGCTGTACTCTACCCCATATGTATACTTTTTCATATTTTATCCTATTTGGGGTTCTCTGAGCTTGCTGAGTCTGTGGTTTGATGTTATTTCTGGAAAATTCTTTGTCAGACACTCTTTCCTGTTACCCGTTCTCCTCCTGGCACTTTTATGACATGTAATTCTGCTTGTTATTGACCCAGTCTTAAAATCCTTGTCCTACCCCAGCCTCAGTGTTAGGCAGTATACCTGTGTGCCTGAGCCTCCTTCAGGAGTGGGTCTTTCTGAGCACTCCCAGCCCTCTTCCCCATGTATTAGTAGTCAGTCTTTAGTGGGAATTTTCTGCTCCTTCCCCAACAGTAGAATCAAATTATTTGTACTGTTGTCCAAATAAAGGTATTTTGCTTGTGCTCCCAGCCCCCAAGAAATAAAAGGTCTTCGCCTCTGTCGTAGGAGTGAGCAGGTTTACCATCCCTCCTTCAGAGGCACAGGGATTTGGCTTCTGCTTCTTCCCCAAAAGTAGCATCTGTGTCCTGGGAGAGTATTTGCTGATCCTTTGCCAATGGCTTAAGGCTTTCGCTTGTGGCAGAGAATAGTCCAGGAAAACAGGTGGGGTTTTGTGCCTGTTTACCTCAGCACAGCTGTTCTGTGTATCTGTGCCTTCTTGGGGGTTCTTTCCAGTCTCACGTTGTGCCCTGCTGACTCTTGTGAACACCTGAGGCAGTCATAAAAAATGTTTATAAGCTGGGCATGGTGGCACATGCCTGTAATCCCAGCACTTGGGAGGCTGAGGCAGGAGGATCATTGCAAGTTTGAGACCAGCCTGGGCTGCAAAGTTGAGCTCAAGGCCAGCCTGAACTGCATAGCAAGACCCTGTCTCAAAAACAAAAGAAGACCCAAAAAAATGTTTATGAATAAGTATAAACATTCCCAATAATGCAGACTCCCAGTTACTCCACACTGAACTGCCATCCCACAATTGCCAAGAATATAAAAATTATGTGTATTCTTCTTAGCGGTTTAAAAGGCAGTCACCTCTTCTGCTGTGCCAGATGTGCAACAGTTCATGTGTCCTAGCTCTCCCTGGAGGTGCTTGTCCCTCTGTATAATTCAGTTTACTAGGGCCAGGGATACAGCTCAGTGGCGTAAGTGCCTGCCCGGTAAGTACAAAGTCCTGAGTTTGATTCCTGGTACCAAAAAAAAAAAAAAAGTTTACTAATAGCTGGGCATGGTGGCACACACCTGTAATCACAGTACTCAGGAGGCTGAGGCAGGAGGATCGCCACAAATTTGAGGCCAGCCTGGGCTACATAGTGAACTCAAGGTCAGCCTGAACTATACAGTGAGACCCTGCTCCCCCCAAAAAAGTTTACTTAATTACTTTCAATTTCAATTCTGATAGATGTAAGAAAAATTAAGGTTCTGTAAATTACAAAGAACAGAAGAATAGGGAGAAAATACAGTTGTTACCAAAGCAGCTACTGCTTCACAGAAAGTCACTGGACTACCTGGAGACATCTCTGGACAAACTATAAGAAAGCTTCTAAGAACAGTCTGTCAGAAAGAGGTAGAATTTAGGTACTGGTCATAGTTTGCCCAAGGGAAGAGAACTCTGTGAGCTTCAAAATTGTGCCATTTACTCGGAGCTGCTGGTGGGACCACAGCTAATGATCTCTGTGGCTGAAAGTGTCAATTATAAAGGTTCTGAGATTTTACCCTACTTCCAAGGTAGGAAGTTAGCTTGATGAGTGAAGACTGAACACTTCTATCAAACACAAATGGCAGTTTACTATACAGTAATAGTAACCCAAATATGAAATTGTATCAAGAGTTCCTTCAGGCCCGAATCTCAGAGTGCCTCAGAAAATACTGGATGATGCCTGCACATGCCTTTGGGTTGCATTCCAGGAGAGGAATGCCAAGTTTTGGAAATCAGTCATTTGTAATGAGCTCTGGTAATCTTATAATGAGCAAGCAGTAAGCATGTCTGACTTCCCCCAGTGGACAAACTTCTTATACACCAGACAATAAGCAAACCTGACCTACACTCATGAAGGAGATAGTACCTCTGCCTCCCAATTCTTTGCTGTATAAATGTCTTTGACGGGCTAATCTGAAATAAAGGCAGTCAGCACTGCTGCTTGCAAGATAAACAGAAATTCAACAGACCCATGGAAAATTCTCCCACCATATGATGGAATCGAGAAACTAGGTGTTCATCTCTGTGGAAGAAACCTGTAACTCTCACAAGACACCAAGGTAACAAAGGTGGCCCAAACATGTCCTGTATGCCTTCCATCCTTGTTCCCCAATATCCCACCATAGGCAACTACTACTAACGGTAACCTCCCAGGAACGTTCTGTGGTGTTTGTTCCCACACTCAGATTGGAAAACCTCAATCACTGGGTATGGTAGGCAGAAAAACTGTGGCTATGCATGCTCTGGCTTAGACATGTGTCTCCTAACGGCCCATGTGTTGGAGGCTCGGTCCCTGGCCTGTGGTGCTACTGGG